CCACAGGGGACTCAGTTTACTGTATAAATCAGGGAAGCTGGAGTTGAGTACACAGTGTTAGTAATGAGCACTCAATAAATACTGCTTAACTGCAGGTGTCCCTGTCTCTACCATTTGATTAGAGAGAAATTAGGAGCCCAGAAAAAGCAAACGGTCCATTCGATTTGGAACAAGAAAAGGAAAAAAAAGAAGAGCTACAAAGCAAATAACACTAACTTGGGAGATGGAGGACCTTGATTCTGGTCCCAGCTCTGCCATCGGGTCACTGTGTGATGATGCCAAGGACTGTTACCTCTCTGGGCCTCATTTTCCAGGTCTGGAAATGAAAGATTAGACTTGATGAGAGATCCTCAAGCTCTAGGCAGGACCTGCCAGTGACGACGGCACCCTGGAGGGTAGTGCAGGTGGGCTGCACCCCTTCCCCACTCGTCCCAGGGACTGTGATTCTCAGCCACTCTGACAGCCCAAGACCAATGGTGAGGTTTCAGAAAAATGAAAAAGGACCCTCCTCAGGAGGGGGAGCGATTCCTAGACTAGACAGCCGTGCCTCTGGCCTCCCCACAGCCCTCTGCCGCCTCCTCCAGCTGAATCTCCATTTCCTAAAGATCATCACAGAGGCTCCACAACCTTCCCTTTTTAACAACTCTTGCTGATGGAAAATTCTTCCTCATACCTAATCTAAGTCCATCTGCTGCAATTTCTGTCTATTTTCTCTCGTTCACTCCTTACTGGAGATGGAGAACAGCTGGTTGCCATCCTCCATATAACATCCCCTCCTAAACCAAAATCAGTTATTACATCACCCCTCAGCCTGTTTTTCCCCTAGTGTAGCACCCACCGTTCCTCTGACCTGCCTTCATGGATTCTAGTCTGAAGCGTCACTGAGCACTGCGGCCTGCCTTGGAGGACGCTCGGCAGGCTCCAGGTCCATCTGAAGCTGTAGCATCGCAGCTGGAGATAGGACTCGGGTGACAAAATCCAGAGAGAAGGTCAGACAGGGCAGAAAGGGCTCAACTAGTCCAAGCCCCTGACTTACATATGGAAAAACTGAAAGACAAAGCAAGGAAGTGCAGCCACCAAGGTCAAATCTGAGGGACCACGCTCCAGGGCTGGACCACAGACTTCACCACCACAATGCCCCGAGTGGCTGCAGCCTGTCCTTAATGTGGGAAAGAGTGGGATTAGGCTCAACTGAAAAGCAAAGGGTCACAATGGCTCAGACACTCCCTATCCAAACTCTGCCTTTCCAATCCTACCAGCAGATACCTGAAATTCCACCGTGAACAGCTTTGATTTCCATCAAGAACTCAAATACCTCTGTTAGTGGCAACACTGCTAACTGTTCACACCTTAGTATGAATAAGTAGATCTGATTCTTTCCAACTTTTGATAGAGAGATTTAGGGGTGAGGCAGGAATTAAGGACAAAGAAACTGGGAAAATGACAAATTTCACTGCATGTGAACATTTTCAAGGTCAGTCCTGTGCATGGGGCGGAAGGTGGGCAGGACATGGAGCCCTGAAGGCTGTACCTGCTCGGAATCCCTTGCACCAGACAGGCCTGTGCTTGGAAACCTCTGCCCCGCCTGTCTCGCAGAGACAGCTACACCACCCCAGGTGCTCTGTGAGGTCTGTGTAGACCTGAACATGGTGAGAGGATTACCTCACTGCTCCCATAGGGCTGACCCAGTGTGCCTCCCAGAATTCCTGACTCCCCTTGTTAACCATTTCAGATGTGAGGTGAGCAGGGTGTCTAAATTAAATCTCAACCTCTAGGGTGCCCTTAAGTGACAAGCAGAAGAGCAGGAAGGGGAGGAAGAAGGGGAGATATATCTGACATTAAATACGACTGTTCAGGTACCTGCTTCAATAGCTTCAGAGTGGGGAGGGGGACAAGTGTAAAGAAAGTGAATCAGGAGAACTATTTAATAATTTGGGCTACGACATTTTCCTAAGTGAAGAAAGGAGGAGGAAACAACAGAGTGTAGTGAATACATTTCAGAGCCCAGGTTTCAAAACACTCCTCTCCCTGTCTTGAATAAACAGAAGCCTCATGCTCCAGCCTCTTCACCTTCAGAGGGTGCTCCAGGCAGTTCCCAACCCCCACACACCCCTCCACAGGGTAACCCAGAGTCCCCACGCCCCCAAGCAAAAGGAAACATGTCGACAGCATCTACAAAAACACCTAACCCAATAAATGTGCTCATTTGATTTCGCCCAAACCACAAAATTAAATTTTAAAATAGAAGTCTAAAAGGCTTCATTCTGATAAAAATTCTAGTATGTTTCCAATCCTATTTCAAGGGACAGCCTTCTTTAACAGCAAAATCAGCACAAAATGACAAGATCAAAGCAGGTTGGCAAAGAGATTATTTACTGATGTGTTTATGATGAAAGGGGCTGTCAGGAAGGAGGTGGGATGGAGGAACAGAAAAGGAAGGAATGGACTTTGACTTGCCAGGTAAGTCACCCAGGGCTGCGGAAACAGAAAGAGGCAACCCCTTCACAGCACAGTGGTTAAATGAGAGAAATACTAGTTGGCCAACTGGGGAGAGGAGGAAATGCTAGATCTATGAAGGATGCCTGCCCAGGGTTCTGGCTAAAGCAATCATGTTTGATGAAATAACAACGAACAAATTTAACTTCCTGAGCACTAATCAGGCCCTCCACCCACAGGCAGGTTGCCCGATTCACAACTAACCAGCCTAACACCAACACTAGCCATTAAATTCCCCAAAATGGATCACCACGGAGGGGCTGGATCTGGGTGTCCTGCCCTGTCACCCAAGGTGAAGTTACAATGATGGTATTTTGAGTTTTGTCAATTATTCTTCAGCTCCTATTATGCTTTTTTTTCAGTCTGAAGTTGTTATTTTAGCAATCTCTGATCCAAATGGGGAACTAAAGGGAAGAGAAATGAGGGGGAGGGAGAGGGAGGCAAAGCGAGCGCTCCAGTGTGTCCCACTTGTACTCCAAGTCTCCCTCTCCCTCAGCTCCCTGCCCCCAGACTGCCTTTTTCCTCTCTCTGCATGAGTCACCATTCAGAAGCTGCTTTAAAAACCTTACTTTTAATGTCCTCTATCATGATAGAAACCCAGCAGATCAGCCTCAATGAAAGGGACCTCAATTTTGTTACCTGTTCCTCATTCTAGACACCCCTCAAACTCAAAAGTATTTTCTAGTTTTATCACTGTCTTCATGAAAACCAAGGTGCCCCCTTTCAAAATCCCCCACCTGCTGGATGCAGCCTCTCCCAGGCTCTCTGGGAGTCACATGCCATAGACAGACCACAGAGGAGGAGATTTGGGGCCAATGATAACCAGCAACCGATAAAGGTCCATTGTCTAATCCAAGCTCCTGAACACAAAGGCATTATAATTTATGGGACTGCAAGTTTGTTTTGTTTACTGTCAGACAACATGTGCAAAAGAGAAAGCTGACTGTATCCTAACCAAAAAAAAAAGGCAGCTTTTTTTTTTAATCATTGCGAGTAGAGCTTTGACAATAACAACTCCCACCCAAAATAGCTGCCTAACGGAGGTGGCAGAAAACCTGTTGTAGAGGTTAAAGAAAATACGAATTAAAAAGTGAAAGTGATTTGTGGAGCCAGCGAGTGGAGGCTGTCACCTGCACCTCAGCAGGAAGGGTGTCACTGGGAAAAGGTGTTGTTGGAGGATCCCTCCCAGAAAGTTCACTCCCTGCCAGGACTGGAGATCACATTCCCCGGCTGCAGGTCTAGGAGAGAAATCAGTCAGAAAATTCACCTGAATTCCCCAAAGCCTGAGGGACTTATAGGACTAACCCCAGACTGGGGGCTGCAGGGTATCCAGCAGGTCAGAGGCCATACCTGGGGAAGTGAGGTGAGGTGGTCTGACGGGAATTTCATTTAAACCAAGTACATCACCTTCTCCACCATGGGTACCCTGCTTCCTAGGAGGCCCACTTGCCTACGGCCTCCTATTGGCAGAAGCTCAGATGCTCCAGGAGAGGAGATTCCCCAGGTCCAAAAGTGGGTCTGGGAGTGAGGCCTGGTGGTCCCACAATTAGAATGCACTAGGCAGAACCAGCTGCCTTCCATGACAAGCTTTTCTACTCCAAGAGCAGTCATCAGAAGCAGTGTGGTTTGTGGCTCCAGCAACTCCTGGGCCACAAAGCAAGGATACCTGCGCACCTAAACAGAGCCAACCCCAGGAACCTGCCCCTCCCACCAGCCTCAGCCTCCCAAAGTGGCTGGCATGCTTAGCACTGAATAGCCCTTCTCAGATAAGGGTGGAAACTCGGGGTGAAATTTAGCTCCATCCCTTTCATTTCAGTCCACACCAAGCCTGGAAAGTCTTCCAGAGTTTGCAGGGGCTAACTGATTAAGTAATTTCTTTTCCTCCGAGAACCGTTTTGTTGGTTTCTAAGCAAGTTGTGTGGCACTCAGGTGCCCACCAGGTCAAACAGGCCGTGCACACCCCAGGAAATGTCTCCTTCCACCAAATAAAATCAACTGAGACAGGATGAGCAAGGGGTAAGAGGTAGAAAGGAGACAGAAGTTTGAGAAGGACTCAGGTTGAAGGTCACAATAGTTGGGAGAATAGCTGGCAGATGAAGGTAATGGGAAGAGGGCTGACCCTATGGGGGGAAACCCAGCCAACCAACCACGTTTCTCAGAGCCTGCCTCCCAGTGACCTGCCCACCAGGAAGCAGCACATCCAGAGGTCCAACTCCCTAACCTAAATCTACACCCAGCCCTGAGGGCACCCTCGCCCAACACCAAACCTATTTCCACAGACGTGAGCGCAGCTAATTGAGAATAGTAAACAAACCCAGTTCTAGACGGCGCAGAAGTTTTCTAAATTGCCAGCTCGTTTTCCTCCCAACAAAAGAGGGCGATTTCCCACCTTTGGCACATTTCCTCCCCTAAACTTTTCTTTCTGCATTCCCTCCACATATGCTAAACTGCGAGCCACTGGGCTTGGAAGCGCAGGAGCAGCCCGGGGCCGCAGGCGGGAGTACCTTTTCCGCGGAGCAGAGGGCGGGCGCCCAGGGGCTCGCTGCCCGGCCGAGCCTGGAAGGATGCCGCGGGGATGGAGCACGCTGAGGATTACGCGTCCCTGCCTCTGCGACCAGACCTTTCGGCAGCGCCGACCGACTGTGCTAGCGATGCACTTAGCAATTATCTGCTGGCGCCGACGCCCCGCCCCCTGCTCTTGCGATTGGCTCTCCAGTCCCGGGCAGGACTGCATTGGTTTCAACCGACCTCACTCACTGCTTTGGCTCCTACTATTATCTAAGCCATCAACGGGAATAATTCTGTTTCATTGACAACCTGTGAGGCTTTCCTCTGGCCCGGCGTGGGGGCAGGACTGGGAGTCCAGTAGAGGGAGGAGGGCAGAGTAGAAAAAGTGGGGGTGGGGGAGAGGGAGAGCCCGAGAAGGGGTG